CTCCCCGGAGGGATTGGCAATGGCTACAAATTGGAACATGACGTCATGGTGAAATCAAATATATAAGTTGGTATTGCAACTTGATAACCCCAATAGCGTTGCAATGTTATTAAAAAAACTATTATAATGTCTAAATAATTTGTATTGCTATATTTTTTGTTTTTTTTGTTTTTTGTTTTTTTTTCTGTTTGATTATTTCACAGTGTTATTCTTTTTATTTTTTTCACTTTATTTGGCTATTTTGATAAACCTAGTGGTTTGGCAAACCAGGTGTCGCAATATTATTAAAATTAAGTTGTTTCATAAATTCCATTTTTTTGTTTCATAACACGCCATTTTGTTTTGTAAATTCCATTTTTCGTTCCATAAAACACAAATTTGTTTCGGAGTATATGGCTTTCTCTTTAGAGCAACATTCGTACAAGATTGAGGCAGGGCCTCAAAAAAAAAGATTAGCCTGACAAGATCGCGTGAGTTGCGCCCTCCGTGCTCGGCCGGCAAGGGTGCCACTCACGCCTACATATCAGGCTACAGAATCGTCTAATCGTCTCAAAATAGATGACGAGGTCAGTGTCGTGGCATATAAAATAAAACAACCTAATTTATTTTCCATTATTTTTTCTAATTTAATTTTTAACACACTTTTGTGTGTGTTTTTTTTTTATTCTCATTGCGTATGTTTGTCCTTCTTCACATCTGTATTGCATTTTATTCAACATCCTAATAGGAAAACGAACGCAATAAAGATTATTATTATTATTATTATTATTACAATCCGACCCCTGGATGACATATCGACCTTTAATCCCCAACAGATCTCGTCGACCTAATCGTACCATGTTGGCCGCAGTCCATTTCAGGTGACCTGTAGAACCATAACTGACCAAATTTACACTTGTGTCACGTTAACACCTATTTGACAGTGTTTGCACGATGGCCGCTCTGGCAAGGGGTCGAGACGCTCTGCGAAAAGTGGAATTCGGGTGGTTACAATTGGGAAGACCTGCAGCTGCGTTGTCCACTAGACGACAGTGTTACGCAACCAATGCCAAGACCGCTGTTCCATCTAAAAGGTAATTATGTTTAATTGAATATGTTTGTTGTCACAGTGAAAGAACCCCCTGCCTATGTTGTGAGATACAAGAACGCAGAATCTGGGTGGTTTGGGTGACGATTAAATTAAATATTAAAATCATTACTGGTTTTCTAAAATACTATTATTCTGTGCACACCCTTTTCTTTTCTTTTTTACTTTGTAATTTATGTGACTTTTTTTTGAGATTTTACTGCTGTACTTTCCCAAGACAGTGTTGTTTCAATAAATATAATTATTACAAGTCTTCATAACGCCGAATCGCATAAAGTGTATCTTTACCCATTCTCGTTTCAACCGCGTTTCCGTGTAATGTGCTGGAGGCGAGCTACTACGTCATGAAAACAATGAGGGGCGTTTCCCCGCGTTCACAGTTTGTCCATGTGGGGATCTATATGTACAGTGCAGCTTTACTGGTAGATGGAAGTGCAATCCGTGCAATGGCAACGTATTACACTGTATGCCCACTCTAAACAAGGGAAAAACACTTGATTGACAAGTCGGTTGTCCTTCAACTATGGGTGACCCTGGCAAATGAGAAGCTAAGGAGGAGCCTCATTTTAAAATACACAATAATAAAGTTGCCGTAGACTGAGTTTAAACCCAATTTTTCACTTAAAAAGATATTTTATGCTTAGAACCATACAAATTAATAATATTGATATACCAATAACTTTCAGGCGAGTAAGTAGCATGCATTTAACAGGCACTTTAATGTCCATGGTTGACGGAGTAAATCAATGACAGCCCGCTGACCCAGTATATGCAACTTAAGACGTAAACAACGGAATAAAAATAAATAAATAAACAGACAGACAGACAGACAGACAGACAGACAGACAGACAGACATACAGACAAATCAATCAATCAATCAATCAATCAATTAATCAATCAATCAATCAATTTTATTGTTTTCTTGATAGATATGCTACGACTGACCAACTTAGCGAACGTATGAAAGACACGGCGGAGACTCTGATCATCGGCGGAGGATGCCTTGGGTGTGGTCTTGTTTACCATTTAGCAAAGGCTGGTATGAAAGATGTCGTCTTACTGGAAAAAACAGAACTAACAGCGGGATCCACCTGGCACGCAGTAAGTAATGAGCGCTGAGGCGACGTATAATTTGAATATATATATATGAGAAAACACAGAATGAAACATACACCAACACATATTACGTTGTAGACGGGAAACTTCAGCCATTAGGTGCTCTAAAAAACGGAACTAGAAACGTACACGTGACCTCCTATACATTGGTATTGCATGAAGTATTTACGGATGATCTCCGTCATTTAATAGTTTCTTTCTTTTCCGCAATACCTAGGCTGGATTATCAACTTTTTACAGCGGTATAGTTAACATGAAAAAGATTCAACATGAAAGCATTAAACTGTTCCAAACCTTGGAGAAGGAAACCGGTCAGGTAGTGTACCACTCATTCATTAATTAATTAATTCATTCGTTCATTCATTCATTCCCACTCATGTACGTGTACGTGTACAATAAGTTGTTCGAATATTTGGGCCTAGATTTAATTATATAATCATGTAAATTAATAAAACAGTTCAAGTTCGTCAAAGTTGTGATCTACTTAGAAATAACAATCGTACGCAAAGTATCTTGACTACTGGTTCCAACCAATCAATTTGTTGATGCTCATTAATATTCAAGTTGCTCCATCCCGTCCTTTAATCATTGTTAAATTGTCCCCCGATTCTAAAGTTGTTGTCGACACCATAGTTGTCATAAGGATCATAAGCATGGACTCATCCTCGCGTATGTGTTATCTTTCTTGCAGCAAGTTGGTTTCCACGGACCGGGAACAATTCGTCTGGCTAAAACACCACAGAGAGTTGACGAATTTCGTTACCAGATTCAAAGACACGGATGGTATTCAGATATTATCAACCAGAGCATTATTACTCCAGATGAAATTAAAAAACTACATCCACTAATTGACACTGATCAGGTAGAGTATTACTTCAGAGGCTAGATATGGAACAGACACGTTTGGGTCATTCTGTCTTCAAGAAGAATGCGTCAGACGGGGAATGGGTATGCCACGCATTCCACTGGGCATCGTTTTATTGAATACGGATCTCTGAAAAATATTTTGGGTACCATAACTTTTAAATACATTTAATATATATATATATATTTGTTGATAATTTTTATTACGTTAGATACTGGCCGGTTTGTACATGCAAGGAGACGGCCATATTGATCCGTATTCGTTGACACAAGCATACGCCGCCGGGGCCCGCAAATATGGTGCTGAAATCTACCAACGTCAGCCGGTCTTAGGATTGAAGCAATGCAGCGATGGTACATGGGAAGTGGAAACAAAACACGGAATTATCAAAGCGAACAGAGTAGTAAACGCTACGGGTATGTATGTCGTATCGCCAAATTTACGTAAACGTATAATGGTTTGGGTAGTGATCACAAAATGTGTACATCATCGTCGACGAATCAGAGTTTGGAAATGCTTCAATTAATAGATTGTGGAAAAACTGTAACATATATAATATTAAAAAATATAAATATATAATCTATGTAATGGACATATATATATAATAATGGACAGAATGGAAATGCTTCGTTTGTCAATCAGAATACATTGTCATTCTGTTATTATGTATGTCGTATCGCCAAATTTACGTAAACGTATAATGGTTTGGGTAGTGATCACAAAATGTGTACATCATCGTCGACGAATCAGAGTCTGGAAATGCTTCAATTAATAGATTGTGGAAAAACTGTAACATATATAATATTAAAAAATATAAATATATAATCTATGTAATGGACATAAATATATAATAATGGACAGAATGGAAATGCTTCGTTTGTCAATCAGAATACATTGTCATTCTGTTATTATCATTATTTTCCCCCTCTTTTTAGCTCCGCTGTTGACTTTGTCGAGCGGAGCTTATCATATGAGTGATTGTCCGTCGTCGTCCGCGTCAACTTTTTACTTTTTCAACTTCTTCTTGAAAACTTTAATCTTTGATACTTGATGCACATTTAATTTAATTGTCTAATTGGTATATATTTTTGTCATTTTTGGTAAAAAGTTATATTTTCGACTTATTGTTAAAAAAATGCTGGTTCGATTGCTTTGATATTATACATAAAGGTGCTACAGGTGGACCTTTTCTCAGATTTGTTCATTTCATGATGATATCTTTCATTCTTTATTTTAAATGTGTATTGCTAACAGCGGAGCTATTTCAGCCGAAAGGCTGCTTGTTTTATTTCATCCCCACTTTATCCTATAAAGAAAGAAGAAATTAATAGAGCGAATCCAAATGGTAGAAATAAACTGAGAACTTACAGGTTATTTGAAAAGAATATTCACGTTCACTTAGGAAGTTGCCTAACTGGATAAAAAATTGCTCTACGTATTACTCTCACCAGATGTATTGTAGTAGTGCACGTATTCGTCTTCATATTGTCAAGTACTAGTTCTGGTCCGACTTAAATTAATGTTTCATTAGATTTTGAGTTATAGCATCTTTGTCTGTTTTGGACTATTTTTTCAACGATAGGTTTATGGTCGCACGAATTCAGCAAACTGCATGGCAACCAACTTCCCGTAATGACAGTGCAACACCAATATATTGTAACGACAACGGTACCAGAAATCCAGGCGAGGAGCACGGAGCTTCCAGTATTGAGAGATATGGACGATTCGTATTATGTTCGACAAGAAAGAAGCGGGTTATTGATTGGCCCATATGAAGCAGAGCATAAGATGAAGCAACAGAAACATTGGGTCGAAGGAGTACCTCCAGGTACAGTACACTTGTTTTCACTGTAACTGTAGTAACCATTTTGATATTCGCCCAGGAGAGTTGAACGGGGCAGTGTACACTCAAATGTAAATAGGTAACTTTTCAGATGACACATACCCAAATATACCATTTCATGCCAAAAGATGGGTCAATTGTTTAGCCAACAATTGTGCGAATTTCGACTACTTTCGCAGAAAAAGCAAATCTATTAAAGAAAGACCACGAAGTTCTGTTTTCGGAGAGCATTAGTTCTTTACTTATTGTAAGTGATGATTTGCATCGTCACGCCGTCGATTCACGTGTTAAACATGAATTTGAATATATGTACACCTCATCATTAAATACTTTATCGAGATGAACTCTAATCAACTAAAACTTAGAGATTTCTCGCGTCATCATTGCGTATGTCACCCAATTTGCGCCAAGTGCCATAAACAGTATAAATTTATCTCACAGGATTCGGCCGAGAGCTGTTTGAAAGCGATTTAGACCGTATTGATAACCATCTCGAAGCAGCAATGAGCTTGATGCCAGTATTAAAGTCGGCAGATATTCAAACAGTGGTGTGCGGGCCAATAGCTTTTACTCCAGATTCTATGGGATTAGTTGGACCGTACCCAGGGTTGAAGAACTATTGGTGTTTATGTGCCGCTGCGTAAGTTCACACAAAATATAATGTATCCAATTTTTGAAGAAGTACGTCATCAATCACGTGGTTACAACGCTTTATGTCCGTAATGACAAAGTTGGTTCGTAGATCGTGAATACACGACAAAGCGCCGATATGACGTAAAAGGGTGACACAAAGGCCGTTCACATATATCGTTTTGATCTGATCTGTATGAGAGTTTTGGGGATGCACTATTTTTATCTTCGACATTCAAGAATAGTTCATAAAAATATTTTAGAGAATCCAATATGTTACGTTCATTTCACTACTCTATCATGAAATATAATTATACAAATTTGCGCTATTTCGCAGTGGTGGTATTATTTGGTCTGGTGGACTTGGCAAGTACCTGACACACTGGATAATGACTGGCGAGCAGCCGCATGACCTAATAGAACTCGATCCAGTCAGATATGGGAAGTGGACAAGTATGGACTACGTGGAAGCTAAGACGAGAGAAACATACGGGATGTATAATCATATCGTGTATGCAAACGATGAAAGATTTGCCGGGCGACCAACGGAGAGGATTTCTGGTGCGTACGGAAAGATGAAAGAGAGAGGTGCACAGTTTGTTCACAATACAGGTATGTGGCAGCTAAATAAAACACGATCTGACGGGAATGTCGCGAGGCATAATATATGTCAGTTGTTTCAATCCACTTGTGTGCCATTTTGGGCGATAGGCTTCTTTGTAGCGAATTTTTATATTTGTATTGATATTAATAACGATGTCTGCAGTCGCCGCCTTTTTTATTGATTAACGGCTCGTTTTGTATAACAGACATCTCTGCGTTATTGTGTTGTTCTGATAAATAAAATATTCCGAATACCGGGGATATAACACCCAAGGAACAAACAAAATCAAGTAATGTTTTCTGTAAAATACACTACCCCCCTTTTTGATGACATCTTAAGCAATTGAAACCGAATGCCGACATTTTAAAGGGCAGTAGTAGTCGCATGCGCGAGATATATGGGTCTCATATAAACAAAGATGGCAACTATGAATGTTGCGCAAATCAACGAGTACAAAATGAGACGTTACCAAGCTTTAAATAGTATGTGTATGTGAAAGGAATCACCGGAATCACGACGACTGCCCCCATTAAGATGTAATGGCAACAGTTGTGGATGAACATACAATGTGTAACTTTTTTCGGTCAAAATCATTCGTTGCTTAAGACCAATGTGCTATGAACTAAATATCCATAGTATATCACTACAACAAACTGACCATGAACATATTTGTCACAGGATGGGAGCAGCCAGGCTGGTTCGCGTTATCTGGTGACGAGGCTGGATACAAGCCAAGTTTTCGGCGTACAAACTGGTTTGAACCGGTTGGTCGTGAATGCCGTATGGTGACGGAAAAGGCGGGTGTCATTGATTTGTCTTCTGTTGGTAAATTTGAAGTCAGAGGAAAAGACGCTTCCAAGATAATGGAATATCTCTGCGCCAGAAGCATGCCTGAGGTATTGATTCACTGACTCAATCCATTATCCCACCCAGAAAAGACGATTGCAAATTTGAAGATGAGACCCATGTTCGTATAAAATGTTGGATCAAAGTTGTCATCTAATGGCCCAAATGAGAATATTTAATTGTTTCATTTACTTACAATTCGCATAATTAATGACGTCATTCAACAAATATGCACATATTTTGTGGAATAACCCACATTAGTCTGTACATATATAACATGTGATCTTCAATAGAAATATCAACCACCACGTGTCCCATCTTTAAAAGATCCTTTATAAATGTAATGAATTAGTATATTAATAATAATTGTAATACTAATAATAACTCTAATAATTAACTCTATCCGTCAAATTGTGAGGGTACCTTGTTTGTTTGACACACTGCAAGCAACGAGGGATTACCATGTCCGATCACGCTCGGAAAGCATTGTGTATGCACGTTTCTCGTCAGTTAACCAAATTATATTATATTTAAATAAGACGTGTTATGCAAATTGGGTGGAACACTCGCAAACAGTTCAGTGACACGTAATAATATGAACGTTTGATTAGCACACGCGTGTGCTATTATTAGTTGAATATTCATCCTCAATGAAAACTAACTGTATTTCTGTGTAATTGATTGCAGGTAGGAAAGAGTGTTGTAGCACATATGTTAACATCACGTGGTACAGTCCATTCCGAGCTCACTATATGTAAATTAAACGATGTTCGTTATTTTTGTATCACGGGAGCTGCTTCTGAACTGTTTGATATTAGGTACGTACCACATTTCACTGGAACCTTTTGTATAGAACTTTTAATTTTAAGTGTTCTTATACACGTGTTCGTTAAAGGATGACTGCAAATATTAATTGCGTGGAGAAATGTGACGGGCCAAAGTAGTACAAATAATTCCAATTCCGTCTTAGATGGATCGAGACGCACGCAGACAAAGGTGGCTTCGATGTCAGTGTTCTGAATGTCTCCGATGACGGTGGGTGTTTAAGTATCGCTGGTCCAAAATCAAGAGAAATTCTTCAAAAACTTACAACGACTGATGTCAGTGATGCTGCTCTCCTGCCAATGGATAACGTAACCATGGATATAGCAGGTGTCGAAGTTCTGGTCATCAGAGGATCTTCCACTGGTATGTGAACTGTGTGAATATTAATGCATCCTCCATCTTTCAAAGAATTGACAAAATATGCAATCTATACTACCCATTTGGGGTTAAAATATCCTGAACAGTGAAAACAACCAAAATTCGATTGACTGTTTTAAATATGTAATTATACAAGATTCGAGATTTTACGATTTATTGCCCTACACATACTTCAGTGTCGTCAACACAATTACCAAGCGTGAATAACATACACAATTGTTTTTCAACCACAGGTGAATTGGGATATGAGTTTTACCACGATAAAAAGGACACACTAAAGTTGTACGAAGCGCTGTTAGAGGCTGGTGAACCCTATGGTATGGGTGATTTCGGTTCTTACGCTTTGAATTCCATGAGAATAGAAAGAGGCTATAGAAGATGGGGCAATGATGTAAGTATTATTTATTTATTATTTTTAATTATTTATCTCTTCACTTCATGAAAAATTTATGATTTTATTATCTCTTTTTCTGCAGATGACAATTGACTATGACCCATATGAGACTGGTTTAGGACAGTACATCGATTTGAATAAGGTATGTTACGTAATAATTCATGTTTGAAAATTTGTTGTATAAATCCAGAAAATGAAACGTATAAGACATATTGTTTTTGTTGTTAAATAAATGTTTGTCTGAAGCAATGTACACTTGAATATATTGCGGGATTGACCAATATGCAAAAAAAAATGTAAAAAGGCATCAATCGTGTAATTGTGATAATTACTATCGACCACCATATTATGCAGAGTGCTGACTTCATTGGAAAGGAAGCATTGCTGAAGCTGAAAGAGAAAGGAACAAACCGAAAATTGGCATTATTGTCAATAGCGACCGATAATGTAGATAGCGCCAAATACGACACAGTTTGGTGCGACAATAAAGTGAGTTTATTTACTTGTTGATTATATTTTGACAAAACAAAAAATTATTCCGTTACCTCATATACAATCTTTACGTCACCGTTTGTTGTATCTGGGCATATGACACAAAACAATATCACCTCTATTTCTGTTCAAGGTTGCTGGTTACGTCACATCCGGTACTTACAGTTATTCCACCAATCAGATTATTGCGTATGCAAACCTGCCACTGAACCTTGCGTCTGTTGGTTCTAAAGTTGAGGTGGAGTTATTGGGCAAACATTACCCCGCAACAGTTATAGAAGAACCAATTATTAAAGAAAAGTCAGCAAGACTGTAGTAACACAGAATTATTGAATATTTTGGAATGGTTTCAAGTGATGCAACCGTGTCAAAAACAACGGATGAAATATTAATTACCACTTCGTTCGACGTGACTTTTGATAATTGGCGGTTGAGAACAGTATATTGGTGAATGGCAAATGTTTAAAAGCAGTAAACAATTTGTCGAGCACGGCGTTTGACGATTCCGAGTTTTTCTGAACAGGTTTATTCAAATATATATGAACGGATACTTTGATTACGTTAATTTGAATATGTTAATGCACCACAAGACGCTATGTTCCAGGAATAGGAACTATGATGTTATTCACAGTGTTTCAAAATGCTAATTTGAATAAATAAATGATTGATTTAATGAACACCAAAAAACGTTTCCAATACCTAGCCACAATGAGAATGAATTACATATCTGTCGTCTGTCCAATATATGCCATACGTATACAAGCAGTCCCATAAGAACTGCCAATAGAGAGTGGTTACAAAACACCTTTATCCCTTAAATTATTTAAGCCGATATATTATTCCGTTGCTTTTCAAAGAATATCGAATATGTACATCAAGTAATCGCTGCACTTTCTATTTTCAAACTCTATATTGATGCAATATGAAGTGCATTACAGTGCTGACAAGTCAGTGAAAGCAGCACTGTCACGGGGTGGCTAAGTTAGATCCCCGTTACCAGATATTCAAAATCCACCCAAGATCTACAAAGTGATAGAACACATTGCAATAGACACAATACACATTTTGTACAATATTTGAAATATAAAATATTTGTATACCAAGTGCTTCGAAAAACAGTGATGTGTGATACTTAAAGTACGGCTACGAGAACTTACGTAGATAACTGCCTGTTTGAATCGATATTCAGACCTCAAATAGGCCGTTAGCGTCCGAGTTGCCATACTTAATACTGTGCATCATTTTTGCAGCGCTATCGCCGGCCGCGCGTGTGATACATGGCTCGTTTTGTAAACAAATACAGTGGACTTGTACATATCATAGAAAACTACATGTTACTTTCAATCACAAACCACCTGCTGAGGAAATTCAGTAGTGTTGCCATGCATTCACACAGGTCGTCGATCTGAATACTAGTGTATTTAGTTATAATTAAGGCGTTGCTGCTTAAAAACGCACCGTTTTCAATTAGTGATGTCATTTGAGTACAAAGTAGTTCAGAAAAACAGTTTTCTTCTAGTAAACGGACATTGTTAAGAACAATGAAAACAGTAAACGGGTACGGTCTTGGAACTAAAAAAAGCGTACTTTCCTTGTAAATGATGAATACTAACCATCTGTTTTAAGGTTAGCAATAACAATAGCGATGAGACAAAATTTAGTATTACTATAACACCCTATAATATTAGTAAAATGGTTGTATAGTCTGGTAGAATGATTAAATATCGAAATTGCATTGGCTATTAAAAAGAGACAATCAGATGAAAGTAATTTCTTAAAATTCCTTGGAAGTATGCCATAATCACAACAGTCTAAATCTTTATTGTGCATTGTGGTTTGCTAGAATGCCATTCAAACTAAAGGAAGTTTGCACAACGAGGAAGACAGTGTTTTATTGAGGTATTCGTATATTTTTGGAAATCCACTGGGGAAATGACACATCTTTCATGGAGACCGGAAAGACACTTGTATCATGGTCTCCAAACACAGATTGGGTCGGCTCTTGATGTAATAATCAAGTTTTGCGAATGCCACAACGTATTACACCGTTTACATTTGTAACAAATCTTTCTCCTTTGTACGGAGTGTTCTTCTTGGAATATTCGTTAATATCCTATTACGATTATAACGATATAACTTCATGTCCTCTTCCTAGTTTTTCAATTCACCCACAAGTATAATGCAGACATGATGGTGCAAACGAAATGCTCTTCTTCTAGCATACCGTCAGCAGCCAATTTTTGTTGGGAGAATCATAAACAGTGAATCCTGATTAACAGTAATCTAACTTCAATAACACTTTTTCAAAAAGTTCATCTATTGTCAAAATGTCAAACTGTTGGGCAAGACTAAGTCAATACACCAAAAGAGCTGTTTTTCGTGTTTTTTTTTAATGTATTACATGTATGTATAAATAAAGTGGAAACATTAATCAATGTTTTGTTAAATAAAAACACTGTCTAGTAATTGACAATTACATATTTTATAACCTATGTGATATGTCACCATAAACACTGAACGGTATGGTTAAGCGGGGTAGCATAGTCATATGCAAGAACCGATGCATACTTAACATTGTCGAGGGATATAATTTCAAAACCTAATGGACATGTATCATTTTATTAGAGCCATACATTAGGTACTAGTATGACGATTTTAAGTTCAACTAATAAACTTGAAAAAAAGTAACTATTAAAAAAAATCAAGGGTACTTTTTCTTTCATGATGCATGTCAACTGTGGTTTGATTGTGACGAATTACAACTAATCTTAGGAAGACGTAAAACTGATTGTGGTAATCATGTCTGTATAACACTAACAATGATGATAGATACCTTAGTGTTATGCGATAGTTGTACAAGTTAAATTCTATGCTAGTACAATATTTTACAGGAAAGAATAATTGATCTTCAACAATATTACCATAATTATTTTAATAACAGCGATTTTCACTTGTTCATAAATGTTTATTACAGAAATAAATCAAATATTTACTCAACATGTGAATGTAAAATAAAATGTTCAAACATAATATTATATTACATTAAAAATCATAAACTCGGGAAAAAAACACATTCTGAAACCTATTCAGTTAGGTTTATTTAATGTTTTTTTTTTACTGCCAGAATGTTCCATCATTTTAGGCACATGACTTGGTCATGTTTTAAATATTTTTCTTTTATTCTCATGTTATTATTGAAACTAGTCTGACAGAGATGGCACCTGGTCACATACATTGATTAAAACCATGTGAGATAAAAAATTTACTACTTTTTGAATTTTTTATTTTTGTATGGTTTCCTTTCAAATATTTTTCTTTTCTTTGATTCTTTCTTAGCAATATTTTTTCTCATTTTCTTCTTAGCAGCCCTCTCTGGATCAGCTACAGCCTACAAATTGAAACAACACACTTTTTTTGAAAAGAACTGACAATGGTCACAATATAATAACGTTATACATTTTGTTAAGGTTGTTTAAGTTCAGCTTGCATTGACCCCACGCTCATAAAACTCAGTTGCACAGTAGCACAGTACATAGTAAAGTAGCTAGTTTGAAACCAGCCTTTCAGAATCAGGAGATAACAAACAAACATTTACCACTACAGCGGGTACGTGGTTTGCAGTTTTCCTAAGACCAGCTTAAGAGTAGAAATCACTAATCTTCTGAATAAGAGATTGGACACGAAAGAATGACACTAATTGTATAGAAATCCGATGTGAAGATTATGTTTTTCTGATGTCCATGTTGCCAGTCCTCTGAACTCAGTACCATATACTTTGGTTACAATTGGAAACATACCCAATCAAACTTGGTGAGATGCACACATTCTATACCACACTCAAGTTCTACAAAGCAATTATATACAAAGATATCGTACCTCCAGTGCCTCCTGTTGGTGTCTTTTTATTTTGATTCCTTCCAGTGAAATTTTAACCTTTGTATAGACTGCCGTAAACACAGTAACATCCACTTTACTTCTCAATATATCAACTACCTCTTGTGCTAATGTCCTGAGATCAACATCTGTAAATAAAAAAAACAAACTCACTGAATCTATATGTACGATTAAGTATATTTTGCGTCCGGACAGTCAGTCAAATAAGCTTGGGTTTTTGGTTTATCGATTATTTTGATAGTCTTACAAACATCACAGAGGCATGGGCACGGTCAAGATCATTAGGAGAAAAAAACATTTATATGGTAAAAATACTGTGTTGTTTGCTGCACCTACTATGCAATCAATCTGGTTTCAAGGCAAATGCCAACAAGTATGCAATAGAGAAAATGTTTGGAGATTAAAGGTTGAAAACATATTGTTAATTAATTATCATTAATATTGAATAAAACATACCTAATCAAAAATCTACCAATTATCTGAGAAATTACTGTAGACATCACTCACCAAAACACACAATAATGAATGCGATATTCTCTAAACTCTAATTTTGGGTTGTGAGCGAATGAGTGTTTCGCGTCTTTTTACTAACTCACCTTTCCGCGATGGGTTTTGTAATTCTTTATGCACAATCTCCAACAATACAGGTAAGTGTTCAATAATTTGATCAGTGGTAAAATAAACAGACATTCCAGCAATCCATTTCAAAATACCGGTTCTTCTTTCTTTACCCAATGTGGTATTAGCTCTCTCATATCTTTGTATCAGAGTTAGTCTTGACATCAACCATGCGAGATTGGTCTCGTCATCACTATCATGATGTTGATCTATTAGTTTACCAAGAAAAACAAGGTTTTTCACATCCTAGAAGATAAATTAAGAAAATATAGGTACACGTATATATAAATATTTGAATTGCATTGTTTTTACTGTAAAATGACTAATTTTCACGTGGTTTAAATTTCGCTGATATAACATTTCAGGTATATTCAGTGGGTTTTAAATTCACGGTTTTGTTATTTAGATAATGTATTCTATGCTAAATTTTACATATTCACTGGTTTTTAATTTAGCGCATTTTTCATTCAGCGAAATAAGCCAAATTAAAACCCAGTGAACAATTGATCCTTTTACAGTATTTCAGCACTGCCTTGTACATGTATGTATTTACGATTTTACAACAAATAGATTCGCCGATTAAAATTATAAGTAGAGGTAGCATTCAGTTCTTTTTAGAAAATGAATACATAAATATGTTTTGTCTAGATCTATAGTTGAATTATAATATTCCTCCAAACACTTCAATGTGTTTTAAGTTCTCGGCATGTGATACATGTGATACCACTCATACATGTATATGAAAGGGGAGTTCAATTAATGGAATAAAACTACAAAAACCGTGAAAATTTCTTAACTGGTGAAGAAAAAAGACAGAATCATGTTCACAATACTGGTATGTGCTCAGTAAGGTAGCTGGCACAGAACTCAAAACTAAAATGTAAAATTCCGATTTTAATATTTTGATGTCACAGTTGGAAAAAAAACAAAACTTACCTGATCCACGAGCGTTGCATTTGTAATCTTGGAATGTAATTGTTTACAGAAATCCTGCACCAGTTGCGATATTAAGTCACTACCGCAGTAATGAAAAACGTCATCTATTGTCATTATGGTAAACATCTGACCATATAACTGACTAACAGCCAGTCTGACCCAGCTATGGTTATGTAATATATGGCTATGTATGTGAACTGAAAATATAATTTAATTATATTATTTCTCCCTATTACCATATATGGGCATTTTATGTACATTATGGTAAACATCTGACCATATAACTGACTAACAGCCAGTCTGACCCAGCTATGGTTATGTAATATATGGCTATGTATGTGAACTGAAAATGTAATTTAATTGTATTAGTCTTCACTATTACCATATATGGGCATTTTATGTACATTATGGTAAACATCTGACCATATAACTGACTAACAGCCAGTTTGACCCAGCTATGGTTATGTAATATATGGCTATGTATGTGAACTGAAAATATAATTTAATTGTATTATTTCTCCCTATTACCATATATGGGCATTTTATGTACATTATGGTAAACATCTGACCATATAACTGACTAACAGCCAGTCTGACCCAGCTATGGTTATGTAATATATGGCTATGTATGTGAACTGAAAATATAATTTAATTGTATTATTCCTCCCTATTACCATATATGGGCATTTTATGTCCTCATTTAGGCATTTTGAAATTTTAAAATATGAAAGCCAATAATAATGGAATTTTCACTCCCGATTTTTAGAAAAGTTAATATACAACGATTTCTGTTAAAATAAAATCCATTACTATTCTGGCAAATCTGTGAGAATAATCAAGCATAAAAATGAAATCCCAGTATGTACAATTTATGGCATAATAGTGTTTGATCAAACATATGTTTTGATCAAACTACTGTTTCAATATTTACTGCAGAAAAAAACTTACCCCACATTTTCTTTACAACAGTTTCATGGGTTTTAGCTTTCATGATGAAAGCACAGTTTTGTAATATTTTACCAAAACAAGTCAATAAATTAAACAAGAGATGGTCTCCTTCTTTATCTTCCACTTCCTCCTAGTTGAAAAAGTTGAAATATGTGAACAATAATTATTTCAAAATCACACAAAATATTTGAGCATACTGCAAGCATTTTGTAGTTTATTTTAACCCCTTTGATTGTCAGTCAACTTTCAAATAACATATCCATATTTTTTTTTTTAAAAATTTTATCAAGACGTGTCAGCAATAGAAATTTAAATCCCAGTTGTTCAAAAATTAAAAAAAATAGATAAAAATTGGTAATATTTTGCACTCAAAGTGTTAAGTATTATGTTATCAACTATCCATAAAGACAATCTTCAATTCTGACAAACAAATAAATTTATTAAGTGAACAAAAACTTAAACAAGTATTTAGAACTGTTAAGGCACTGAAACAATTTAGCAATGACCTTGTACAGGCAATAAATTAACCTTGAGATCACTGAAAAGCCACTGCAAAATTACGCATTTGTGTTGAGTTTGTTATCGTCTGTGCATACTGTTCACTCTTATCTGTTTTACACACTGTACCAAATTTCTATGATTATATATTACTTATATTTTTAGTCAAATATTGTAACCATGGCAATCACTGTTGATGAGAAAGTAAAGTTAAACTCACCCCAGTTTCAATGAATTTATTAGATCGATCTTCTCTGCTAACATCGGTAATAAATCCTTGAGACGAGAGTCAAAATCTTCTTGTTGTACTTCACAAATAAACCAATCAGCTGAGCTGATACTGCTGATGGGATATCTTTTGTCTGTAAC